GAACTTCTGAAATGCTGAACTTTCATTTCAATTGTAGATCGTGGCTCTGTCTATAGCCAGTTCAGCTGTCATGTATCTTGGGAATGAAGGATAAAGGCCTGGTAGCAAATAAGAGATTTGAGAGGATAAGGACTTTATTAGGCGAGTGTGGAGAGATGAAGCTTCTTCCTACAAAGGATGATTCTGCATAATGCGCAAGGAGATGAATTGTAGGTACTTAATGTTTCCACACTCATTTTTTTTTTTTTTTACCAGGTGTGAGAGCTGTGCAGAACTGTGTCATGTCCCACTGAACTCTAGTGCTGTTTTAAAGGAGGTATAAATCCACCTAATCAGGTGTTACTTAAATAGTACACATATCTCTTTAAGAATATCTGTAGGAATTACTGGATTGCTTACAATAAAACTTAAAGCAGATATTATTCTTTCCACTTTTGTTCCCTTTGTTGGTTTTCTCAGATATATAGATCGTAAAAACACACACACATCTGAGATGTCACCCATTGCTGCATTACTGTTGTTGCTACGTTGAGTTATTCGAGATTTATTGAATGAGAAGTGGGAATACTAAGTTATCAGCTAACTACAATGGGTTTGATAGCAAAGTGTAGCCATTAGCGCAAACCCACAAATAAATATCCGAATTTCATTCACCAGATTTAGAAAACTTCTTCACATTGGCTCTTAAGCCCATTAAGTGCACTAGCTACATATCATTTGACATGTAATTACATTTTTTTTTAAATGCTCCTCAAATGCTCAAATTAGCTAAGGTGATGCCTAGTAGACAAGTCTGGCAGGCACCAACCACTGAAAAAATAGAAAGTGGTCGTAGCTACTGTGACATCAGCCATTGGTTTCTGAAGTCCTGTTTTGAAGCCTCAACATGAGTGTTAATGCCATCGCCATCTTGGCTGCAATAAAACAGAGGCGACAAAGAGGGCGAGTATGACCATGAAACCATGCACCCACTGGCTAACAACTTAAGATTGCTAAATTGTTAGCTAGTGAATGTGTGGTTTCATACCACAGATAATCCTCTATTGTTAAATATAACATTACCAAGATTTACTAAATACACTTAAAGTTGTATTCACTGTGCCAAAAAAAGAGTGACTGAGCCAATAAAGACTTGATAATAAAGAGTGGAAGTTGTTTTCCTTTAGACCAGCGGTCCCCAACTTTTTTTGCGCCACGGACCGGTTTATGTCCGACAATATTTTCACAGACTGGCTTTTAAGGTGTCACGGATAAATACAAAAAAAAAAACAGTACTGGTACTAAAAAAAAGGAGGATTTATTCAGAACACATGGGAAAAGACCCAGGGAAACCGAGTTAACGATAAAAACGATTTAAAAAATGAACTATAAAAAATGATGAAAACCATAAATTTCACACCCGAGCCTCAACTCTCATGGCCCGGTACCAAACGACTCACAGACCTGTACCGGTCCGTAGCCCCGGGGGTTGGCGACCGCTGCTTTATGCTTTATGCTTTATGCTTTATACCGATGCTATTTCTGTATGTATATTTCCACAGCTATCGCCATCTGGTGGCCTTCAGGTAGAATGCAGGTTCAAGGTACTTGTACACTGGCATGATTTTTCTGACCTGGAAACTACGTCCATGTTTTATACCGTTATGGCACCAACCTGTAACTCAAAACGTCCACACCCGTAATAATGCAAACTTTATTTTCAGCATTATTTGTGAGTTAAGTGAAAATGACAAGTAGACCCTAATCATGGTGAAAACGGAAGGTGGCATCTAAATAACAAGTGAAAAAAATACTTTTTCAACATAATTGATTGATGATTAATTTGTACTGCAAAACTACAAAACTCATTAGAGAGAGGGAGAAATGCCCTAAGTCAGGTGATGTGATGATTTAGGCACAGGTAGAGAAAGAGAGGAGCGAGCGTGTAAATAGGATTAGGCAGTGCTCTGGTTGTACCCTCGCTTAGCTTAATTTAGCTCATACATTTACAGCATGCCACTTTCATGAGCACATGGAGAGCGAATGTGTTTATTCAAGTGCCGAGGCTGATGTAACAAATAGCTTTCGGCACTCAGAAACTAGCCTTGAAGATAAAACTGTATAATTCATGGACTGCTCATTAGAAAATTGCTCCGAGTCCTTCTGAAGCTTAATTTTGGAGTTATTTGACGTGACAAGCAGCCAATATTCACACATACGTTTTTAAAAAAGCTTTCTAGGCAGGCCCAGATGTTGTTGTTGTTGTTGTTGTCACACATTTCCTGGTGGTGCAAAGTAAATTCTCTGAGAGGCCAGTGTATGCGATGGATGACAGAGCAGGAGATAGGTAAGGAGATGGAGGCCAGGTTATCCACCTTATCATGATAAGGCCTGATGATAAGTTCCTTTGATTCTGGCTGCTCTTGCTTTTAAACAAAAGCTCACTCTTAATGGTTTCACTTCTGCTGAGTGACGGAGAGAGACAGCAAACTGGTGGCAAAGAGGCCCCTGCTAGTTTGCTGCCTTTTCTATTGAGCTGTTCAGATCTGCAACAAAGCCCCGTCCTTGAACTTAGCTAAACTACAACGCACAGCAGTTTTCCGACTCCACAGTACCTTGATAGAGAAACTAACAAGGGCAGACTTTGCATTCAACTGAGCTGACAGCTTTTAAAAGTTATACTCTCCTCAAAGGCCTTTGGTGCAGTAACAGTGTAGTCGGGGTCCTGGATTGTCATCAAAGAAACTCGCTGCCGGCTGATGATGATGCAGATAGTTCAGTAATTCTTTCATTTCCTTTCTAGCTTAAAAGAGAGTGTTTGGGTGTTTTTTTTTTAACTTGTATTTTCTTTTGTTCTTTATCTTTTAAATCCATACTGGACAAGATAAGAAAGGAGTTGGAGGGAGTAAAATAAAAAGTTTGGATTCTTGGGGGATTCCCAAGCTTATGTTAATAATAGCGGGTTAATTTTTTTTTTCTTCTTTTGGCTGAATCCTTTTCTTTTTTCCTACAGTTTAATTTTTCCTGTTTCCGTGCTCGGGACTATCCATAGCAGCTGTTATTCCATAATTATCAATAAATAGCAAGGCTGCCATTCATAGGCACGACCCCTCACCTCCTCATCATTAGCATCACTAACCGCTTTCAGTAAACAGCAATTTCAGCTATTGAATTTGTCCTGCTTGGCTTTTTTGACTTTGCCCTGCAGGCATCGGATAACAGTAACGCCACTGTTCAGGGGCCATTGCAACATTTGAGTTGTGACCCTCTAAGATATTATCATCTCCCTCATTGTCCACTCGTCATGCTAGTTAATACGTTGAATGTGACTTTTTCTTTCAGCTTGCGTCTCCAAAATAAGAGCATGTCTGTTGATTGTTGCTGCGAAGCAGTGAATGCTATTTCTGTATGTATATTTCCATTCATGTAAGAGTTTATCTACGAGGAGAAAAAGATAAAAAATATTATATTTTGGTGGTTGTGTGAGCATTTAAGCCTCAAGGCAAGCTGTCTTTGAAAGGGATGGAATTAAACGGGTGACAGTAAAAACATTTTGACTCAGCTACATCTAATAGACTGAGAGGTTGGTTTCACAATGAGCTGCAGAAAGTGCCACATGCTGGAAGAATTTCTAGTGTGTGGAGTTTCTTGCATAGCAGAAATAACTGCTGTTTTTTTCATGGATTCGAGGCTTGTGTATCTAAAAGCGTTGGTTTATTGTTAAAGTTATTGTATCGCAGCAGTTTTATTCCTTTCCATGACTCTTGCTTGTATGTGAAGTGCTGCCAGAACCCCACTTTGTTTTATTAAAGGTCTCAGACAGATGCCAAAAAAAATTAGGAATCAAATAAAATAAAAGTTAAGCTGGGAAAGGGCCAGTTGGTAATTGCTTTCGTTTTTCGTCTTGACATGTAAAGACCTCTAATTCATGTGAAACTGCATGCTAACAATATGTTTTCACACCTGAAAACTCTGGTGTTAGTTTTGTAGCACTTTTGTTGCGGTGCTAACGAGGCAGCAGTGGAAACTCGGGGCAATTATGCGTCATACTAGTTTTTAGGTTTCCACAGCCTGGATTCAGACGACCACATTGTTTTTCTTAACAATGTTACACTTTGTTTCGTCTTGTTTGCAGCAGCATGGTTTATTGGTAGACGCTGCTGTAAACCTTTATTTCAGCTATTCATACTAAATCTGAGTGTTTCTCTTTGACTCATCCATGAAAATTATTGATTCTGTTTATCAAAACAAAAAGATACACTGCCTGGCAACTTTGTTAGGTACACCTGCCAATCACAGCAACTTAATAGATTTAGGCATGTCAGGTTTACAGTACAAAGGATGCTCCAAGAGGAGGAAAATATCAAGTAAGCGGCAGTTCTTTGGGTGAAAATGCCTTTTTGTTACCTAAGGTTAGAGTTGACTGGCCAGACTGCTTCAAGCTGACAGGAATTTTCCCATCAAATCAATGGGAAAATCAATCAAATCAATCAAGGTGACCCTATCAAAAGACCAGGTGCCACTCCTGCTCGCTAAAGACAGGGAACAGAGGCTACAATTCCCATGGGCTCACCAAAATTTGGCAACAGAGGATTGGAAAAGTCTTGCCTGGTTTGAGGATGTGCGTAAATTTGAAAGCATAGATAAACCCTGCCTTGTATCAATGGTCATGATGTAATGGTGTTGGGGAATTTCTCTCTGTACAGTTTGGCACAGGTTTGGTCCTTTATTACTAACTAAGCACTACTAAGAACTACAGTAACCAGATCTCAGTCCAGTAGCCTCTGGGATGTGATGGAAAGTTTTGCATCATGGATGTGCAGCTGACAAAATCTCCAGCAGCTGTGAGATGCTATCGTGTCAATGTGGAGGACTGTTTCCAACACCTTGTTGAATTTTTGCCATGAAGAGTTAAAGCAGTTCTGATGGCTGCAGTTTACTAGAGTGACTGAGGACAGTGAAATGCTTGTATGACCTGCCTACGTCTCGAACTAATAAAACCTGTTTGTCTCTGTCATTAGTGAGCAGTACCTGCCACGCTCTTTTTGACCGATTTCTGGACGAAGACTTCCCAGATGAGTTTCTTCCTCATCCCCTGGACAATGACAGCCACTGTGAGTTTGTATCTAGAATACTGATGTGTTGATGAGTTGACACAAATTGAAAATCTGTATTCCAGTTATCACCTGTGTTGTTTTTATTGCTTTTCTTACACTCATTGCATGCATCTATATGAATATGTCTTTGACTGGAAAGCATGGTTAAATTAAGAACCTGAGTAGTTTGTCGTGCAGGCAGAGGATCCAAAAGACTGACATCTGTCAAAGATGACTACATTAGGAATTATAACTGAAAAACTGGATTTTTGAGACAAAACTACCCATTTTGAATTTGAAGTGCAAGCATCACTCGAGATGTAACAACACTCCCCTGTTAGATTTTCAATTGCCAGGAGCACAAGTAGCATGCTGATGCCTGTGGCAACATTTTTACATCATTTTGTGATCAGAGGAAGGCTACTCTTTTATCGGGTTTAAAGAAATGAATGTGGGTTAATATGAAATAATTAGTTAATAATTCTGTGCTTTATCTCAGGAGGGATTCCTAATTCCCCTGGCTTGCTGCCATATTAGTGGTTAAGGCAGTTTCCTCTCCAGTTGTCACATGATGTCTTGAACGTCTCCTCCGTCCCCTTCCTGTTCATCAACCCCCACACACAAAATCAGTCAAAGGCTCTGTCTGTTTGACTTTTAAACAGATTTTGGATTTAAATTTGATTTAGTGGAACTAAAGGCCTTGAGCTGACATTTTAAACCATTTTTTTTAAATGTTGTGGCTTTTTTAAAATATATATCCTTCACAGCTTTTCATTTTCTCAGGCACAGTTTTTCCTGTCTAGTTTTGTCTATCCTTTATGTGTTTGGAATTTGCGTTTTATTACTTTTTTTATATTAAAGAGAGATATTTTCAGAGAGAAGCAACACTGGAGGAGTTGCATCCTAACTTTTTTCTTTAGTTCTGTTGGGATTTTTCTGGTCTCGAGATAATAAAGAAACACATTTCTCATATTTCCACTCACCACCGCCACCCCAATCCCCCCCCCCCCAAAAAAAAAAAAGCCTAAAAAACATATGGTGTTACTCATCCCCACTCTGGCATTCATATAAGTGAGTTTGGAGGCTTTTCTTGTGAAATCGCAGATGCTGTTTATTTACTGTGAAGTTTTGCGGACAAATTGTTTTTTTCTTTAATACAGAATCAGTTTGTTTCAACATTTTATACATAGTGGGATAAAGATAACGTGAGAAATATACACTTTTTCAGTTCTTAGATTTGGGGCTGTTTTGCGTGTGTGTATAAATATAATTATTTCAGGCTAGTGGGGAAAAAAATGCCATTAAGACATATTTTATGTTTATATTTCAGTATATTTGTTAGCTTGGAGCTGTAATCAAATCAGTGCATTTTTAAAACGATACAGTAATTACACATTCAGACAAAAACATTAAAAAAACAACAAGAAATAATCTACATAATCGTGTGCACTGTGAATGCACGACTTACAACACCACTCTTCAGATAAATCAACCACTGTCATTTTTTTTGATGTACTCTTTTTTTTAAAAAAAAGAGTTTTCATCTTTGTTATTTCATGTGTTGCAGTTCCCTCCTGTGATTTTGAGTCACCGTGTCTCTGGACTTTATCGAACAGCAGCCGAAGTGACTGGTTATTGGTGTCGCCACAGCAACCACAGAGTACAAAGGCTGAGATGATGCCTGCAACTGACAACTCAGAGGGAAGGTCTGATGGTAAGAGTGCAGAGACTCACAGAGGAGCAGCTAAATCAGGGTGCTCTGATACACAGTGTTCCTCTTTCTTCTGTCAAATATGTTTAGAAGAGTCTTTGAGCTACTGTGTGAAAACGTTGCTTCTCACTTGACATTTTCTTTCACTCTGTGCTCCATATATTCAAATATACCCTAATCCAGAATTTGTCATAATGCTAAAGCATTAGACAGTGTTATGAGGCTGCTATAAAATAGTCAACCATGAATTTTCCACTTTGTTTTATTACCTTAGGACACTTCCTTCTTTTAACCCCGTCACCTGAAGCTGAGGCCTCTGGGAAATGTGACTACCAGTTAATGAGCCCAGTATTGCCAAAAAGCAGCATGGACTGCCTGCTTCAGGTGGCTGTGTATGAGGCCGGCCCCGTGGTGGGGAACCTCACATTGCTGATCAAGCCTGCTCAACCAGATTCAGACGTTCACTCGGAGATGCTGCACCACAGGGGACGAGACGACCGCAGGTCAGCGAACACACTCACCTCCACGGCTCTTTCACTTAGATGGGGTTTTTTTTTTGTTATTGTGCAACACAACCAGTCCTCTTCACTGAAAAAAAACCAGAAGGCACACTTCTGTCTTACTAATGTTATGTAAGAAAAATGTTTCCTGCCTACCATGTAAGGCAAACTATAGAATTGTGACAGCGTGTTGTTTGGGAAACACGGACAGATATTTCCTATTGATCTTATGCTGAAGCACAACTATCTTTAGAACAGCTAAAAGCATTCCTGAGACTAGAGGCAGGCTGGAAATGAAGTTACATATAATTGGTTAGGACAGAGGAGGATGGATTGGCATATGCAATAAGTTTGTACATTGGGTTTGTTAGTGGCTGCGCAGTAATGGGCTGTGCAATTCCATTATGAGTCACACACACACACACTCACACACACACAGTGACTTTATTTATTAAGCTGGCTATTCATCCAACAAAATCTGCAGATACAATGTCTGGACACACTCTTCATTTAAAGCATAGTTACCATCCAACAGGCTTCATCTTTCAGTGAAGTAGTTCAGTGTGTGTTGTGTGGGATGTCATGCGTATTGACATATGGCGCAATTTTGTTAAGTGCAAAAATAGAGTTGAATGGTCACAGGAGTTGACATCGGGCTGTTTGAAGTGTTGTCAAAAAGTTTTGTGTACTTGGGACAGACAAATAAGCAAAAAAAACCCCGTACCACTTAGAATTTGGCTAATCTCCCTTTCAAAACCACTTTGATCGCTGCTGCCATTTTTAATCACTCGCAGTCTGCGGTCTGGGATTTTCCTATCCACCTTGAACGTCCGCAGGCCTGGATTTCGTGTGGAGAAACAATCCTCGTGATGAGAACTTGACGTAATCCAAAGTTTCCAAGATTGAAGGTTGTGCATCGTGTGAGGAGCAAACTGGTGACCAGGAGGTGTGAATGCGTTAACAGGAGTTAGACTTGTCGACGCAGCGTCCTACTTAATCACCATTTGCCACCGTGTGTGTTGGAAACATTGCAACTTCTTCTGATCACATCAGTACAAACTTTGCTCACCACCTCCTACTTTCTCTGAATGAAAACATAGATGAGGGATCACTGTTTTGTCACACCAGAGGAGATCAGGCAGCACTGCAAAAGTTTCAGTGGTCAAACATAATTTCCGGGCACTGATCTCTAAACAGCTTTCGTGGTGAAAATAGTCTAGTTTGCATATATGATAGGGTTGCGCAGTTGGCGCTACGTAGCATGGACGTATTTTTAGAAATGGAGAGCAGGATTTGTGATGTGTGAGGTAAATCTTGGGTGCTGTCACATATCCCAGGTAGCAGGATTTGCTTTGCTTTATTACGCCACCTATAATCACACAGCTGTGGGCCAGCTTTGTGAAAACACAATCAGGTTGGACTTATGACAAGGTGACAGATGGATTATGCTGAATAATAGTGACATGTTTGGTACTTTTGTTACATGGAACACATGCTCGTGGAGGAGTGTGGTTCCCATGGTTGATAATGGCAGCAGTAGTGGAAATGTGCCAATAAATGACAGATGGAAGAAGGCTCAAACATTATTTAGCAAAACACTATGGTGAGAAATGAGAAGAGGGTGCAGGTGAAGGATTTTAATATTCAACTTCAGTTTTCATACATTACAAAGGTTCTTTATTTCAGAGAATGCAGAGGGCTTTAGCAGAACATATAACAAATGCAAACTTGACTGTAGAAACTGCAGTGCAGGCTTTTATGCAAAATAAATCATCTTGGCAGTAATGTTGCATAAAGAAGGCAAGGAAGTGAAGATACTCTTGTTTTAACCTTTACTTGTTTTACTTTTAATGCACTTCTTTTTAATGTAACTATAAAAGCCAAAAATTAGAGTTAGAAAAAAAAGATACACATGTAGCTGTTTTCACATGTGAACTTTGGAGGATGTGGGGGAGAGTCAAGTCAGGACGTGGTCTGCAGGAAACAGTTTTCACCTCACTAATGGAAAGAGTCTTTTTGGTTTAGGCGAAGATGATGTCTGAGTAGAGCATGCTGGAGGCAGATCACAGCAAGACCACCACTAGCTATGAATGCACCAGTCTATTACCTGCGCTTTCTCCCATCATTACAAATCACTGCAGCTGGACAATACATGTCGTTTGTACTGGTGAGCTGTGATGTGAGCTCTAACTGTGTGAGATCTTGGGTTCTCACGTGCACCTTTGTCAGGTAAGGTCCACAAAAGTTCAGAAGTTTGTACTATGAATGAACTTCAGGGTTAACACGGAGGTTATTGTATTATGAAGGTGGTTCATTTCTTCCTGGGGTAAATCACCATGGTGACTTACAGGTTATGCTGCAAGTAAGAGTCACGACTCCTCAAACCTCTGCACGTCGAAAGTAAGAGGGGCTGATGTTTTTGCGTTTCTCTGATGAGCATCGGTCTGTATTATGAGTCCAACCTCTTTAAATTCTTGTGATCTTATACTTTCTGGATCCTTTGTAAACTCAGCCCCTCTGTTGCCAGTATACTTATTGGCTGCTGCCAATGCAACTACTTTCATGTGAACCCAGAGGGGAAAACCAGAGTTTGCTGACGCTACCCGAATTGCTGATGCTAGGGCAAGTGAATCCAGATATTGGAGAGATACCCCGGGTATGTTGAGCTCGCTTCATAGTACAAGGCCCAGGGCTGCTGCTTATGTGAGAAATTCGATTGATTTTGTTTCTGTGTGATTGCTTAATGCAGGGCTGAGTGGCAGATTTTTGGAGTTACAATTGGCTGGATGGCTGGACCCTTTCAGGTGACCCTGCTCTACACTTCGTGTGAGAGAGAAGCCACTGTGGCTCTGGACTCGCTGGAGTTCATAAACTGCGAATCAGGTAAGTTTATCAGGTCGTTAAGAGCTTTCAAATCAGATGCTCATGGTCATTTCCCGTGATAAGCACCTACAACCGCACAGACCAGATAAAAGGAACCAGCTGTAAACTTTATTTTAAAACTTGAGGTACTTTCACAGCAGCACATACTTGCGTTTTAACGTTTCCACAGCTGCTACAGGAGAACTTTTCTCTCTACAGATTACAGTTAAGGTTGCTTATGAAAACTGATTCACTCAAAACGTGTTTAGGTTTCCTTTTTTTTTGTCTCATGCATGTTTTGCAAGTGAATGTCAGCACACAAAAATGATCTGGTGTCAGGAAAATTAAAAAGCTCATTATTTGCAGTCCATTTGCAAACAGGCAAAAGATGCCTGGTCTATTTTGCAGATTTCTTGAACCTTTTTTCTCAGTGGTTTCACATTTTTCAAGTCTCTACGGTATAGAGCAGCGAGTCCGCAGAATCAACCGACCTTCCTGTAAAAGCTGCCTCGTCGCTCATCCTACCTCACCGGGCCTCTAAATCTGCTTTGTATGTTGTTACAGTTGTTGTGTGGTTGTCTTCATTGCAGAACACCATTTCGGTGAAATGAATCCCATTTGTGAGGAATCTTTCCACTGCAACCACTCAGGAGACTGCATCGACACGAGCCAAGTGTGTAACTTCCACACGGACTGTCCATATGGAGAAGACGAGGGCTTCATCTGTGGTGAGATTTTGTTTTTGTTGTTTTTTTTAAAATAAAATCACACAGAGTGCAGCAGAGGTTTTATGATGATGTATTTGATTCAGTTTCATCTGCACCATCTGACCGATTCTTATAGCGACAGCATTATGAGCAGGAAAACACGTGTGACTGCTTCAGTTTGTGCACATCGGGAGTTATATGAGGCCAGCGTACTGTTGCGCAGTCCTGAAGCAGTCAACGAGCTATTGGCAAGTTGTAATCCATTTGCATTAGCTGTATAAAATTTAAGTCCATGATAAATTGTTAATCCTTTCACCAAAGGCACAAGATTATTCCATGCCAAGGGCCTTTACACAATAAATTTAAAGTGTAGAGAATAAGTATTATGTGGGGTGTTTAAAGTCTGAAACCTGAGTGCAGATTCTCTTCCTCGGATAATTTGCATTAAAACGCTTTCACCGCCTAGTGTGTTTTTTCCTAATTAGCAGTAAAATGTAGTGTCAGGAATTCAATTGGCTGTTCTCTTTTCAAAGCTCTCTTCTCTATCTACATCAAAGATTTCAGATAATATGATAAACCCTTTGCAGATTTATTATCCTATTGAAAAAAACATGCACAAAAAAAGCATCAGTCATTACCTTTCAGTTCCTCTCACATCACAATCTAACAAGTTACCTCTCTCTCTTTTTTATAACATCAATCACTGTGTGCAAAGAAAAAACTCTCCGAGACACTGAAAAGGCAAAACGCTTCAGTCAGTAAAATCGATATAGTCAGGGTTATTTAAAGCACTTGAGCTGTGAAACGCTGGGGGGAAAGGCCACAGCAGAGAGGTAATTTCTTCAACGAGCACACGGGCGTCTTAACCACTTTCATGTGCAAACATTGGTATCAATTTAATCTCTGTGGGTTCTATAGAGAGGTGGCTTACATGTTTTGTCTATTTTAGCACAAAAACTGGAAACAGCTCTCTCTCTGTATTCTGGCTTCTTTCACAATTAAATACATGCTTGAGAAGAGTGAGAGGAGAAGAATTACACCGACCTCCCGTCTACATCAAGGACAAAGGTGGAGTCGGGGAAGCTTCCATAGCATAAAAATAGCCTTAGCACAAGGTACCTAAAAAGTTCAAAGATATGCCTACACATATGTTTTAAATTGATTATTTGAGCTCATACTTCTTGGTGGTTAAACCTACACATGCTGATTATCAAAGGATAGTCTGCATGTGTGCTGTGCATTTTTTGCAACAAGTGATTCATGTCCTAGCTTTTCAGCAAAATACATTATCTCAGAAATGAAGGAACGCCAGTTAAACTCCTGAGATATTGATCTGGTCAGTTAGGCAGCAGGGGGGATCGTTAATCAGTTTCGGCTCCTCTGGTATTAATTAATTAACAACAGGCAACAAAACAGGAATGGTTTTACAGGTGGAGGTCACTGGCATTTTTTCCCTCCTCATCTTTTCTGATTGTTTTTCCATTTGGCCAGGGTCAGTGTCACTACTGGTAGCATGAGGCAATACCTGGACCCTATAGAGGTTGCACAGGTAGGATATCTCCCAGTACAGGCTCAAGAGCATTGAGATATCCTAGGAGACAGACAGTTATTCTAGGAGAGCTGGAGGGGGTCGTACAAAGACTTTAATCCACCAGGACAACCAGTATCTGCTCCTTTATGTAAGAAAGAACAGGATGAGAAGATTATTGGTGTGAATGCTTCTGACCAAACAATCAGAAACAGACTTCATGGCCTGAAGGCCATTGCTGCCCTGTGCTTTTCATAGGTGAGAGCAGGTTGACCTGTGGAGAACATTAAGCTGCCTTTAACATCATTCAGCACAAGCAGTTTGGTGGTGGGTCAATGATGGTTTGGGGAAACGTATCCATGGAGGGAGACACAGACCTCAGACCGGTTAGGCAACAGCACCTTCTGTCAGATCCTGTGCTGTTGCAGTGGATTCCTACTAGTTCATAGTGCACCTCAGACTGTTCCAGAAATGTTGATGCCCTGGTCCAGATCTGATGGACACCATGAGTCGTCTCATTAGGATGTCAGGCATGCACACAAGCACCTGTAGGCCATACAAATTACTAAGTAATATCTTGAGTTGCAGCAATGGAATATCAGAAAAATGGACAAGCCTGCTGCATCATTTTTTTATCTAGATTTTCAGGGTTTCTGTTATTTCAACCCTCTGTAAGATAAGAATTTTCATTTCAAACAATGTGGCATCTTCTCAAAGAAGTAGTTTTTTTGAGCAGTATATGTTGACCCAGTGAAGTATTTGCAAGCCCCCAAAACTGATAAGAGCCACTATGGAGTTGTTGGACAACATTTTCACTTTGAAGGTGAAACTGAAAAAAAAACACATCCTAAAAGGTCCGGGAGTAATCACAGTGCTCTGATCTGAAATGTGTCTTCAAAGTTTGGAGAGTGACAGAAGAAAACACACACACACGCGTGCGACTTTCGCGTGAAGAAAAACATCCTCCGTATAATTTATGCCCGGATGATTTCTTTCAAAATATAATTCCTGTCTGAAAGACGAGGAATCCGGGGTAGGAGATGGACTTTTTAGCAGCTGTGGTTTCTGTCTTTTTGAAGTATGATGATAATCTGCTTCCTTCCCAGATGCTCTCCCCTTTGGCTCATACTGTTCGTTTGACGGGGATTCATGTGGTTGGTCTATGTCCAACCAGCACTCGGGCTGGAGGAGAGTTGCAGGAGATGAGCTCATGAAGAGAAAAGACATGCAGGGTTTCGCTCTGCAGCGCACACAAGGTTTGTGTCTGCATGTGTGTGTGTGTGAATGTGTGTGCCTGTGTGTGCACAGCACATGTGAATTATGCCCTAATTTTATTACTGTTCCTCTGGTGAATCTCCTCCAGCTCCGATGAATTATTGCAGTGTGGAGTGATGGGAAAATACCCTCATTTGTTTTTGAAGCTCACATTTCCTTGTGTCAAAACGTCTTAATTTTCCTTTGTTGCAAACAGGATTTTTGCATTTACTCTTTTTTAATACACAGCCAATGACGAGAATGCTTGTTTTGATGTTCAGTAAGTAAAAACAATAAAACCGCTATCGCTGCATTGTCTGAGAAGCATTGTCAGGTCATTTCTAGTTCGCAGTGTAACTTTAAAGCATATGTATGCTTGTCAGAAAGACCTGACAGGTGCTACTCCTTATTCACGAGGGCTTGCCACAGCAGGTAGCGCCACGTATTGGATCTGGCAACATTTTTACGCTGGATGCTCTTGAAGCAACCACAAGGGGTGTAAGTTTCTTCCCAGGATTGAACTGTGGAGCTTTCGTTTGTCAGGCAAATGTAAAACACTGCACATGGGGTTTTTTTGCATGTCGAAAGAGGATGAAAGCAGGATTGCCAGCAGAAGATGAAATAAAAGATGTAATTGTAACTGGTAGTTAATATGCTCTATAGCAAACATCCAGAGATTGACTGAAATATCAGCTGACCATCTTGTGGCTGTACACAAGTCATTTAGAAAGCAAATTAGTGTCCGGCATTCATTGAGACTAGCAGAGCATTGCATTACATTTACAGCTCTGTTAACCTCAATGCGCTTTAGTCTACAAGTCACATTTTACCCCCACATTCATACAGCACTTTATTCTTTCAGCTTTAAGCCAATTTGCGTCGCCATAAAAGTCATTACTTTTATAAGCTGCTGGTTTATGTTGATCAATAAGAAAGATTGATGTGAGTTTGGCTCAAAAATCTAACTAACTAACTAGCTAAATCACATAACCTGGTAAATGTGTTACATTTATTGTCTTCCCTTAGGGCACTTCTTGTTTCTCCCTGTCAGAGAGAGTAATTCACTTAAAGAAGCGTTCGTTCAGAGCTCTGCATTCCCTCGTCCAGTCTCTTCTGTTGCTTGCCAGGTCAGTTACTCGCCTGACGTAGTAGTTGAATTATTCAATTTAAGCATGTTTGATTGTCTTGTCCGTGTCTGTGTGGGGAAGTTCAAATCATATTAAATATCTCACCAAAAATCTTAATGATCCTCATCTCTGTTTGTGTAGATGTATTTCTCTCTGTACCTGCGTGGTCATTTTAACGGCTCGTTGCAAGTGGCTATAGAGGAAAACGGGACCGTCGCCGCAGTACGGGTCTGGGAGAGGAATGGTCAAGCCGAAGATAACTGGGAACCGGTTGCCCTGGAACTGACTGACCTTCATCACGGGTACATAAGAGGAAAACAAACAGAGGGAGGAATGAAAGAATAAAGGCTGATCTCTCGTGTGTTAAAGGGATGATGTGTCGTTGAGGTTTACTCACCTCTTTTTCCCATGGAGCTCCATAAAGTTTTATTTACTCCTTTGTTTTCCCCTGTCTGAGATAGTTTAGCTTAGGGATGAGTACATGCTTTAGGTCAGTGATAAGAAAAGGAAAATTGCTCCTTTCATCTAAAGAATGTGTAATCAGATTTAGTGCTCATAATAAAAGAGATTTCACTCCTACTTTACTCTGAAGAGTTTAAGTACACTCACTGGGATTGAAATCCTGCTGCTTTCTCATAAGAAAAGACAACTGTAATTCTCTGATTGCTCCAGGTTTCGTGTTAAAGTGACAGCTGTGTGGGGACAAGGCTCCAATGCTGACGTTGCTCTAGATGACATTGCACTTGGAGCAGCCTGCTTCCAGTCAGGTAAGCTAAGATCACACAACCATTAAGTAAAGCCAATACAGATTTCTTTAAGAGTTCTCAAGGGCTAAAACACACATTTGTCTTGCTTTACCGCATATTTAGTCTTTGCTTTCATAATGATCTGTGCACTTTATGAAATCAAACTGCGGCTGAGCTTGGGAGGAGCACAGGGAGACCTCCCCAACTGCTGTGTTTTGTTCAGCACCACAGCGGCCCTCAGCTATTCATCTGATACCCCGTTTAGTTGATTGGCTGAGACATGTGGGTAACCGACGTTTAATGATTTGCTGCAAATGTAGTGCCGCAGTAAGACAGCAGTGTGTGCCAACATTCCTGCTCCTGTGTTGTTGCACTTCAGCTTTTAATTCTCAAAGTAGAGAGCAGACTTTCTAATAACAAAGACATGAAAAGGTCTGTTTTTGTTTCGGCGGGATTTAGGGGAAATATGGTTTGAAGCCTCCAGGGAGGCACAGTTGTCTGTTGCGCTTCTGCAGTTGGGCGAGGACGGAACATTTTCTAACTGACTTCGGCTTTAAATCAGGTTTCTAGAGTAAATTTAGAAAGCAATAATTCAGAATAATGAGTCTGCCCATCACATTTATGATCTCACTCTATGCGGGGAACTTGTTGTGTTTGAGAGGGTTATAAGACCTTAACAGCTCTTGTTGCCTAAGGGCTTGGCAATGAGGAGCGTACAACCTTTACCACCAATAAAGGACAAAAATCCCCGTGTCTGTACGCTCCACAGTGGGTAAACACACCCAAGATAGAAAAGTTTTCATGGTGTAGCCCTGTTCTCAGGAAATCTGTGCCACTTTCATTCTAAATATAGTTCATAATCAGGTGAAATCCAGATGAGTGACTGTGACTCCTCTCTTTTTTTTTCTTCCCCTGCCTTTACCTTTACTCTGGCTTCCCCTCCCCTTTATCAGATCTCAACTTTCTGCTGCCCGCGACCGACTTTGAAGATTTCTTAAGCCCCCTTCCAGAGCCTTTGGCCTCAGGTAGTGCACAGCTCCAGCAGTTATCTTGTATAGCGTGTGAATTTCTGAAGTGTCCCAGTCTACTGTGTCATCTTTAATCCATTCTGTTTGCACAATTTGCACACCAGGTGGTCAATTGTTCACTCATCACAGCTAACCAGAAGCTTTTAATCCACCCTGTGTTCGGCAATCACATGCCAGCTCCTTAATGCAATTACCTGTGACTCTTGTAGACGCTTGCCATATGTATGCGTCTGTTCTTCACTGTGTATCTTATCTCAGCTGTTTACTGATTTTCATGCTTTTGGTACTTTTCCCCCCTCCACATAACAATGTGAAAATGGTTGTAGTTTTTGCAGCTTATTAAACAACTAAAAGCAGTATTTTTTCCCCTTCTATTGCCTTTTGTAGAGGTTTCTCTGATGACTTGGTGGTTTACATCATGCGGTGCCAGTGGACCACAGGGCCCAACCCAAGCCCAGTGTGACAGCACTTACAGGAACAAAAATATCAACGTTACTGTGGGGAAGGGGGGACACTTGAAAGGAATTCAGATGTGGAAGGTGCCTGCTACTAACAGATACCTGTAAGTGGTCGGTGATACTGAGCCAGGGAACAATTACCGGTTTTTGTAAACAGTGGACTTTGGTAGTTAAATTATACACACGTGTAATTTCTAGCCACATTAACACGATGTGAGTTCATAATAAGGAATCTTATTAGGATCACTGGTAACTATTTCATAATCCACATTTTACGACATACATCTGCAGCCGTTTGCTCAGTGTAATGAGGTATTTGCTATCCATTACGGTATACAGTGCGTGGCTAAGCCTAAAAGCACTTCATTTAAGACCAAGGATTAAATCTCCTTCTGTTGCAATGATCCCCCCTCAGGATCTCTGCTTATGGGGCTGCAGGAGGAAAAGGAGCCAAAAACCACAACAAACGCAACCATGGGGTCTTTATTTCTGCCATCTTTCCTCTGGAAAAAGGAGATATGCTTTACATCTTGGTGGGACACCAGGGAGAGGATGCATGCCCAGGGGTGAGTATAGTGAGGGTGAGAACATGCTGGAAGGATTTGTTGATGTGGGATGAGTGGGATGTCTTAGAGAGGAGAGACGAGACGGCGTCCTAAATTCTGATTTTCCTTTTTTAATGCCAGGTTCGTGTTTCTGCAACTTTTCTTTTTTTAAATCTTGTGGAGCTTGATTTTCCATCTTCCACATGTTTTAGAGAAATCCTCACACCCAAAAGATCTGCCTCGGAGAGTCATCTGTGATTGAAGACAACCTCAAGCTGCAGGCTGGTGTAGAGTGGGCTGGAGGAGGAGGCGGAGGAGGGGGAGCAACGTACGTCTTTAAGGTAGCAGAAGACACTTTGAGTTGTTTCAGAACTGTGTGCATTTTCTCTGGGTTTGTGTGCATGGCATTGTTAAGCTACAGCACTGTGGCACATAAGCATTTGAAATGATTCAGCAGTGTTTCATTCTTTAATCCATAGATTTAAATATAGATAGATTATATCTGCATGCAGCGTGGAACTTTAGCACGAGGTTCACCTTTTTATGATCGCTCTTATCTATTGTACCATCGGGACTTCTAAAGTTGTTGTGTAGCTTATATAAAGTGTTCATAATCATTTAAATAAATGAAATTGAAAGATTTACTCGTGCGTGGTCTTTTCAGAAGGAGGGTGGAGAGCTGGTTCCCTTGCTGATCGCAGCTGGTGGAGGAGGAAATGCCTACCTGGAGGACCCTGAGTCCAGTCTGGACAACATACCACTGGAGCAGTATGAAAACAGCACCGAAGCTCCCAGTAGCAATGGCCAAACTGGTGCAGCAGGTAGTGTAATATAAGCTCTTTGTTGCTAGCGTCCTGTTGCAAAAACTGCTATTTTAGTTTAATGGATAAAAAATGCCAAAAGTACCCCTCTGTTGAGTCATCTACCGTTCACTGAAGGCTCATCAGAAATGGTCTCAGTGGAAGGGTGGCTATCAAGAAGCCATTCTTAAGGAAGGGAAAGACGGAGAAACAGCTGAGGTATGCGACATTACACAAGAACTGGACTGAAAGTCAATGGCAAAACGTCAAATGGAATAATGAATCCGAATTTTACATTTTTGGCTCGAACCATTGAGTGAGGTACAACATTAACTTTCTACAGCCATCTGTGAAACACCGTGGAGGTTTTGGCGGAATTAGAAACATAGGAAAGTACCATCACATCTTAATCATCCAATACCATCTGGAAAGCATCTGATTGGCAGTGGCTTCATTTTTTAACATGACATTGATCCCAAATACCCTGCAAATTCAGTAAAAGCATATGGAGGTAGAAAAACACACAATCGATAACTATCAGTGATGGATTCGTCCCCCCCAGAGCTGAGACCTCAACATTATTGAAGCAGTGTGTGCTCATCTTGACAGTGAATGCAACAAAAAGCATCCAACATCCAAGGAAGAGCTTTGAATTTCCTTCAAGGAGCCCAGGGAAATTACAAGAAAGCAGCCCGAAAGAGTTCTGTGTCAACGAATAAAGGTGGTCGTACCAAACTTTTGCCTTCAAACTCATTATAATTGTACAAACTATTTGCTCTATAATGTGTTTCCAATGAACAACTACAAATATTTTGTTATTTTCCTAGCAAAAACTAAATTAATAAGGGGTGAGTTTTTTGTTCAATACAGGCCACAAAGGTCACTCATCACTAAATAACTTCACGTTGATGTGTTCAAATCTTGAGATGTCTGAGTTTAAGATGACTCCGTCCACCCTTGCATAACTGAGGAAAATGAAGTTACTGTTATTGTGCCCAGAGTATTAAATATTCTATTCAATTATTTAAAAGAATGAAACAGCTTTCCAGAATCAGTGTTCCTGGCATTTTTCCCTATTAAAAACTAGATTCAATAGAATTAGTTAGATGGAATGCTATTGGTTGTTGCATAACAGGGGTTTTTACTCAGCAGCACACACAAAAAATGTATTACAGAAAACAGTGCATGAAATTTAATATGAAGTTGGATCCATAGATTTTTGGGGCAATGACATTTCTTTTGTAAGTGTGCAAAAGGAAAGGAACTTCATCCAAGTATTGAAAACAGTCTTAGTTTGTCTTAGTTTGTCCTTTTATGTTTTCCTAGTCAATGCAGCACTTTTGTTAAACCCCTTCATTTAAAGCTGAAAGTCTGCACTTCAATTACATCTTGATTGTTTGATTCAGAATCCACTGTGGAGGTGTACAGAAGCAAAATTACAAAAATTGTTTCATTGTCCAGATACTTTCTTGCCTAACTTTAAAAGCTGCAATTGTGGGTATTTTTTCTTTTGGGTTACAAATTACCCTCTGCACTTTATGTTCAAAGAAAAGTTTCATTTTCTTAAGAACGTGCTGTAAACTTTGGATGAGAAGACGTTGTTCTGACTGAATTCAGTGTCGTCTGATACCGATGCACGCATTTCATTTGTCCAAAAGGTAGCCAGAGATATGAGAGGATTTATTTGTTCTGTATTCTCACATACACAGGGTGGCGCAGGTTGGCATGCATGTGTTTGGCCTGTGGATAATGGGATGTATCTGGAATTCACTTCTTTCGCTGGAACATTCTCAGTAAATCCCTTCTGACCAGCTGAGTCTCAGCGAGAACCGTTTATCAACTCATCTTATTGAAACCTCTGAGAGACTGTTTAAATAAAGATCTGCGTGTCAGGGCAAGTTCGAAGTACTGAGCAGATGAGGTCTTTCTGTTTATGCGCGTTTGCATGTGTGCTGATGTTTAAAGTGGTCATCCTGCCACCACATGAGACAAGCCGTACATATACAGTATATTATCACTGATCAAAGACCTCTGAAGGGCAGAGGAACATCTTTCAGTGAAGCTTGTCTACCTTTGATATGTTGTTTGTATGAAACCTGCTTATATCTGCCCGTCATTGTAGATTAGAGCTGTTGATCGACTGATGGTTGAACCCGTTAACTCTTTTTATTCATTGCGAGGCGTCTCTGTATTCATCAGTTCACTTTGGTGCAGTCAAAGGTTAAATTCATGTCCAAAACAAAGCTGCAGTATAGCTACATTGTTGCTGTATAAGTGGATGGGCGGAAAGTCTCCTTTCAGTTTTAACATTTTTTATGGCGACCGAATAGCTGACGCTTTACTCTTGACCCTTTGTCCACCCACCAGCTGCCTGCGAATGGAAACAAAGAAACACAACAACAGAACAAAAAACAGTCGGAAAAATCAAAAGCCCTGTGCTAAAATTTCTCCCTCATTTCTATATTTGATACGCTCCACATCCGAGTGGATGTGCTCTGACCTTCTCAATTATAGTCTAAACAAGACTGAGCTTATTTGTCTTTAAAGTGTGCCTTCTGGCTTAACAGACAGACAGCTCTCTCACTGATTGCCTCCACCGCTGACTCAATATGCTGAATCACCAGTCGAAAGTAGGGCCTAATTTGTGACAGCGGAGACAAGCTCACAACAGACACTACACACATTGGTGGCTGTAGATACTCCATAAAACCGCACTGATGACTGTGTCTGTGCTTATATCCAGACTGCAAAGAATCTCAGTGTAACCCGAGCAGATCATAAAAACATTCATTTAGTAGTCATGAAGTGTGAAAAATAGTTACTCTTTAGAGACCCTTGTCAAGTCTGAAAAAGCTGCTTAAAAGATATCAGCCATACAACCTGATTAGGGTTTGGTAAATGCAAAGTTATGACAGAAAGCCTGTTTTTGGATCTTGATCCACACCGGGGCCTAAAAGTCAGGATATTTGGCCTGTGTATAATTTCGAAATCTCTCGAGTACCCTTTTAAAATCAAAGCTGGCTCGCTCACATTCCAGCAACAGTGTAAGCCTTCGGGTTATTTTATGAACCCTTATTAAACTAATTTTTAATGGCAACTCATTTTTTTGTTGTTCTCAGTCGGTCAGTTTTTTCACTGCAGCAAACATCAAACACACGAACCGTGTTTTACAACCTTGTGCAATGCTCCCAAAGTAGCTCTTGTAACAGTGAATGACTTCGTTTTGTTTCCCTTAAAGGTGGAGGTGGCGGCTGGAAAGATAGTTCAAGTTCTCACCTGATAGCTGGCAGATCCCTGGTGGAAGGTGCCGAGGGGGGATCTTCATGCCCCCTGGCGCTGTCTAAGCTCAGCTGGTCGACCTTCGGAGGGTTTGGAGGAGGAGGCGGTGCGTGCACAGCTGGAGGAGGTGGAGGAGGATACAGAGGTAACCGTATTCTGTCATCATATTGTTATTTCAACCCAGACTAAATTTTTAGTCAGCAAGCCAGCTACTTGGCACTACTACCCTACTCCTGTACTTCTTTTTCTTCTTCAGACTCCATTTAGTGGTCGCCACAAAGGACTTGTTGCATCTATCTCACTTTGTCCCCTTAGCTTTGTTCTCTCTCACACCAACCCTCTGCATGTGCTCCTTCGCTACATCCATGAATCTACTCTATGGACTTCTTCTTCTCTCCTCTTCTTCCTGGCAGCTCCTCTTCATTGTCCTTTGTATAGTACTCTACTCTGCAGATTAACATTTATAACTCAGAGCTGACAGGGTTTCAGAGGGACATGCAAGAGAGTAAAAACTGTTGGAAGGCTAAAGCAAATGCATTCAGTCATCGAACCTCTTTGTGAGGTTTGATGACTGAATGCATAGAGGAGTATCAGCTGATTGTGGGTTGTTTTGACTGTGGTCTGCTGAAAAGACTGCTGAGCTTGATTCATTACTTCTGTCAATCTGTTCTTCATTTTTAGTGTAAAATTCATGTACAATTCCCACTGCTGCAAGCAGTGTTAAGAACTAGATTTGAGTTAGGATCAGGGTATTTTTTGCCTTGATAATCATACTTCAGAGAGTCAGTATAGGGATTTTACATCAAAAGAAAACTGTCGTTTAGACAAGAGAGTTAAAGTTATTACTATTATTTTTGTTGGTTTGTTTTTGACAGGAGGCGATGCTGCATTGACAGATGACATCACAGCTGATGGTCAGAATGGAATTTCATTTATTCACCCGATGGGAGAGATTTTTCTGCAGCCTCTGGCAGGTGAGACTGAGCGTGGCACCCTACTCCTGCATCTTTAAATACCATTCCCAGATAAAAACCTTGAGATGCTACTGAATATTTTTCAGAAGGTTATAACTGGATGATGAGCTAAAACATTTTGTACAAGTCTTTGTACAAGATCAGATTAGAGTGCTTATTCAAGTACTAAATAGAGTAAAGCAAGAAAGACCAAGTGCTTCATACTTTATCAGCTAATAAAGCCAGTGAGATGCAGCTGAAAGCATGTAGCACCTTGGCATAGGTTTAAAATTGTGTGATCATGCTAGAGTTAAGAGGAAGACTCCAGCAAAGTAGAATGGAAAACAACAGAGCTAAAGTAAAAGTTTGCTAGTAACAGGAAATTCCCACTCTCATGAGTTCATCGTTAAACGGTTTAATAATATCTATGTAAGGCCAAACCAACACCGACTTGCTGTGCTCGCTCGGCCCCCGGGCGACACTATTAAAAACAGACACTGTAATGAAAATCTCTGCGTGCGCTCAGATATTTACCAAAAATGTCATCAGCGAACAGTATGGGTTCAAATTGTGGTCATAAATATTTTGTAC